TCAGGGACTCGCGCGCAAAGGCGATTGCAGTGTGAGAAATTGTGCATCCCGTGGTCGGCAGCGTTAGTGGGTGAGTGATGTAGCCAACTGCGGCTCGAGGTGCCGAGGTCGCCGGCGACACATCAGCTGAGGAGGGAACAGAAAACTACTCTGCACCCCTCCTGATCAGACGGCAATACGTTGAACCAATTAGTTTCTTCAAACAGAGAGCAAAATCACCTCACTTGCTATGCACGTGGGCTGGGTGCCGAACAATAGATGTACAGCCAACAGCAGTATGTGTGTCACTCGCCGAGGTCCGCGGTGAAGGGTGTGGTCTGAACGCAACAGTTGTACCCTGCCTAGCTGCGAACCACTGCTGTGTAATGTCGATGTACAGCAGTATGTCTCTCGCCGAGCGTGCGATGCACCACGCCAGACTGTCGACCACAAGCCCGATGGCACAGCCCGGATAACACCTCGTGGTAAGACTCAAGAACATCAGAATAACGTAGAGCCTACAGATGACTGCTGTTTGGATCCATAAAACTTTTGGCGGGTTGTGGGGCATAAATGATATTGATCGTGCAAGGCTTGGCGTCCGCCGAATTTTTCTTAATTTCCAAAACGTTTCCGTGTTCGGCCGGAAATATGCACCACACGGCTCGACACTCGACACCACCTGTGCAGCGCACAGAGCGTGCTGGTGGCCAGATGCCCCCCGGCTTGGCCGCCGGGGAAAAGTCGGGTGGAGGAGCAATAAGATACTGTACGAGCCTGCGGGTGAAGACGATCAGGCACCTGATCGGATGCAAGACCTCTGCAACCAATGCAAAAGACAAGCAAGAAGCTGTAGCTTCTGCTATACGACAGCAAACGAGATCTCACCTTGCTCGTCTGCCCGGGTTGAGATCACAATGAAGCGATGTCCCTCCATTCACACCCCCAGCACTCCCTGGCGCGGATCCGTCATATCCGAAGCGAGCAGCGAGCACCACCGTCGCGCCGGAAATACTTGCGGGAGGAACGAGCAGTCTTTTCTGGCGCAGGCGAAGATCGAAGATCGCCCTCGTCGCAGCCGCGGCCGTAGGGCCTCGGCGAGATGGCTTGCCGCGGGAGTCAGCGACGAGCGCGTGCTAGGCATGGATTGTCTCTTTAGTTTTCCTGTCCTCTAGCATTCTTTTGAGAGGTTTTGGTTGTTCGAAGAGACAAGTGCCAACGGGCGTACCGATTTCAAGTAACTTGGGGGGCTCGCAGCTGGTAGTGTTCCATGCCGGAACTGGTTTCATCTGATTGGCTCCCAATTTTTCGGAGGGCATCTAGTACGCAGATAGTCACAGGGTATTGGTCCAGAAAAAATCGCGGCCGCTCGTTGAGAGAGGCTGTACAGTCCCGAGGGCCGAAGGCTGACTTGGCTTCAGTATGGACGGTGTTCCCACGTTCACTGGGGACACTTTCTATTCTGAAGCACGTCAGCATTTTTTCCAGTGCCAGGCTGTACAGACGTTACCAACAAGGGGACAAACGGCTTGGAGATATGTGTACAGCAAGTCAGAGGCCGAGGAGAAGCATGACAACGTACATCACACAGCGTACCACCCAAACAAGCATGGTAGGCAAGGTTTCTCACGTGCTTTTCACACAGCGGATCGACTACGGTGCGGTCAACAGATATTTGAGTGGTGTGTCTCCAAAGTGTCCCCATTTGGGCGTCCAGTACCAACAGAACATATTCTTTGATGGCAATACTTATACTTCATCACGTGCCCTGTGAGAAGTGTCAGTCGCGGTTAGTCTTTCTGTGATTTTTGGTTGTTGTTGTTGTTGTTGTTGTTGTTATTGCTGTTGTCTTCACGTAAAGGTCCATTCCGATCTCTGCTCGGACCTTCCATTTTCCATGCTGGTCCAACTAACGCGAACGCTTCCCGAATGATGCGACTATGTTTATGTTCTGACAAGATTAATGACAGCAATGAAACTCCCTAAATGATGCCACTGTATCACGCAACTACAGCAGTAAGGTTCCGATAGCGCGTAAAATCGCGTTGAGTCTAGCCTGAGTAACGCGGTCACCGGATGATACCGTGACCGGCTGGTCTTCGCCAAGTCCAGCCTCCTCCATCGGGCAACCGCCTTATTCACCCCACCTTACATCGGAATATTGGCTTGTAGGTTGTGTGGTGTGGAGTGTTCAGTGTACAACTTTCGTACCGATTAAATGAAACAAGTATCCCAGCACCCCTAACATCTATAGACCGTACCGAGTAGCTTTCCTATCTGAAGGTCTACTCTCTGAAGAGCTCCGATCCGGATTTGCACACGAACATTACCTCTGAATTGCATGCTAGTGTTATTCACCGCGAGAGGGGTCAGACGTTCTTCCCTGAAGCACGCCTGGCCGGGAATCGCCTTTGCCAGCAGTGGTTATTTTTCGTACTTATAACCGTGGGTCTAATATCTTTTTCATCGCACTCCCGTGTTTGGAATGGTCTGTGACCAACAAAGGTCGGGTCCGTTATCGGTCAGACAATTTAGAGCAAGAGGGGTTGCTACAAGAGATATACTCGTATAATTTCTGACCTGGCAACAACAGTAACAACATGGAGCAACGAAAAGGGTGCGTAGGTTGCTGAGCGTACTGCTGTGCTGTTGGATCTTGAACAGATCACAATTCGCGCGCGCATTGCGGTCTCATCAGTCAATTTTATCCTTGCACCGACGGATATATGGCAAGAGGGCACGCCCCCGCTGCCCTCCAGTCGTCAAATCGTACTGCGATTTATTTTCGTACGGCCTACAGCCATTGAGTGATCCACTCTGATGTTCAATAGCAGTGCCGGTAAATGTACTGAGGAAATCTAAAACCTCTACGAACCCACAACAGCTTTGTACAAGGCCGGGCGCCCTCTGCCCGGCCGATCCAAATCCCTTGGCACTATGCGGCCTTGTGCGCTGCTACTGTAGCGGACTCAGCTGCAGTACAAGTCATTTGTCACACTATCGGCGAACTACAGGGAGGACTCTACGCCTTGTGGTATCTCATGCCCTCCGGCACGCTCGCACGCAACGTATTTGACAAATGGAATAAGCTTCCATGAAAGTCAACTTCGACTTCCATGGAATTGGTTCAATGGAAGTGGTCTCCCCTTCCATGGAAGTCACTGTCACTTCCATGGAAGTTAGATGGCTTCCTTCGAAGTTTTATGGCTTCGTTGACTTCCATAGACTCTGTTCGTGTGTTTCGCGTTCAAGCTTGCATAATGCTTCCATGGAAGCGGTGAACAAATTCCACGGAAGCTTATCCGCTTCCATGGAAGTGTATCAACTTCCATGGAAGCACTCGATATCAACCGCTCGTTGCTTCCATGGAAGTCGCATTTCGGACTTCCACGAAAGCGCGATGAGCTTGCATGGAAGTAGTACTTCCATGGAAGCTCGTCGCTCGACAAAGTCTCTGCTATCTCCAATGGAAGCACGAAAATACCATGAAAGCAACTTCCAATGAAGTGGATGACAGAGGTCGAAACCGACTTCCGTAGAAGCACCGAAACTTTCATGAAAGCAACTTCCACGGAGGAAGCATCTGGGCACGTGGTCATTCCAGCTTCCTAACCCTGACTTCAACCCTAATCCTAACCCAAAGTAACGTCCACGGAAGGGTCTGGGCATGTGGTCGTTCCAGCTTCCCTACCCTAACCCTAACACCCTACACCTGACCCTAGCCCCGAAGGGGACTTCCATGGAAGCTAATCCGAGGCTGAGTACTTCCATGAAAGCTGCCCTTTACCTGTTTTATATAGCTGCCATGGAAGCCTAAGATTCGACATCCATGGAAGCTATTCCACTTCCGTGGGATTTCCATGGGACTTCCGTGGAAGCTGACTTCCATGGAAGTGGCACGTCTACATTTCATATGTTTAGTTCCATGGAGGAAGTGAATATCGCTTCCAGGAAGTGTCGTTTTGCGCTTCCATGGAAATGCAAAACGAGTAGCTTCCATGGAAGTGGTCAGCTTCCATGGAAGTGAGATCGTTGTATTCGTCCCGATCTCTGCCCGTACTGACCCAGCTACCGCGGCCGCCTTTCGTGGCCACAGCCAAACTACCCCGAACAGGTTTCATACTATGGCACATAGTATTGAGAAATATCAACAGTACAACGTAACCCCCAACCGATTGAGCCGACTACGAGCGGAGAGAACCAAGTGCGTGGAAGAGCACACGAACATTACCTCTGAATTGCATGCTTGTGTTATTCACCGCGAGAGGGGTCAGACGTTCTTCTCTGAAGCACGCCTGGCCGGGAATCGCCTTTGCCAGCAGTGGTTATTTTTCGTACTTATAACCGTGGGTCTAATATCTTTTTCATCACACTCCCGTGTTTGGAATGGTCTGTGACCAACAAAGGTCGGGTCCGTTATCGGTCAGACAATTTAGAGCAAGAGGGGTTGCTACAAGAGATATACTCGTATAATTTCTGACCTGGCAACAACAGTAACAACATGGAGCAACGAAAAGGGTGCGTAGGTTGCTGAGCGTACTGCTGTGCTGTTGGATCTTGAACAGACCACAATTCGCGCGCGCATTGCGGTCTCATCAGTCAATTTTATCCTTGCACCGACGGATATATGGCAAGAGGGCACGCCCCCGCTGCCCTCCAGCCGTCAAATCGTACTGCGATTTATTTTCGTATGGCCTACAGCCGTTGAGTGATCCACTCTGATGTTCAATAGCAGTGCCGGTAAATGTACTGAGGAAATCTAAAACCTCTACGAACCCACAACAGCTTTGTACAAGGCCGGGCGCCCTCTGCAAGGCCGATCCAAATCCCTTGGCACTATGCGGCCTGTGCGCTGCTACTGTAACGTTTGATGAAAGCTAGGGATATAATGCAGGCGTCCCCCTTTAGTTTGTTTGACAGGCCAAAAGTTGCAAGCGAAGGGCTATGGGCCTCCGTCTCACTACGGCTGCATCACTCGAAAATCATGTGGTAATTTTGGTCTTCTCCCTATGTTGTGCCAGAGTGTCCATCGAGCCAAGACCTGACTGGCAAGACATCCTTGATGCAGCTGCATCATCTCTCATTCCGGATGGCGTGGGTAGTAACGCGTGCGGAGCCGTCGGCGGAATGGAACCGCTATTCAACGCGCTACCCTTGTGGGCATCTGTGGTGCATGTGGCGCCACATCGGGTGCGTGCGTGCCATTCTTTAGCTTGAGAGTGTTCTAGCTTGAGCGTGTTTCGGCTCCTTCCAGTCATTCTGACGAATGCACCACTGTTGTCGCACTGCAGGAGTATGTGCCATGAGCAAACCACCGCCATATTCGCGACGCGCCTTTAGGTTTCAGTTCACCAACGCAGCTCTGACGGCGTCACGGATGGCGTGGCTTTTCAACACTCCCTCGTAAACGGAGATGGCGGGCTTGTCTCAACGGCGAAGGAAGAAATGTACCACAACAGCGTTCAAGATGCATTCGTCATTTTTAACACCCATCCTTCCGGTTCTACGAGGTTTGTTGAACATTCTCAAGCGTTGACGAGTGGACACACCCGTTCTTCCGAAGCACGCCGCATGGTGCCCAAGAAGACCTCGCCACCCAGGCGCAAGAGGAAGGATCCGAATCGTCCGCGTGGCTATGTCAGTGCCTTCAACTTCTTCGTCAAGGACAAGCGATCAGCCTACGTTCGGGATGCGCAGGTGACACGCCTCTCCCTGTTGGTTTGGACATATCTACCACGTCCCCCCAGAGTCTTTTTCACCATCTCACACTGCCGTTATCCGCCGATTGAACACCTTTGTGCACCTCAACAACATGTCAGGGGGTTTCTCCCGGAAACAACAATGAAGTGAACAAAATGCTTGGTCAGGCTTGGAAAGAATTAACCACCGAAGAGAAGAACTGTTATCAAGCGCGGTCAGACGTGGACAAGTGTCGCTACCTGAAGGTGAGTTAAAATGCGGTCTACTCGATTTCTACCAAACTGACGAGCTTGCCATCATCCTTCAGCGACACTACACGTTATACCTGGTGCTCTCAGCGAACAGTTCTGAGCATGGTTGTTGAATACACCCTGTACAACTTCTAAAACTAACTAAGTTAGTTGTTTGCCAGACAACTACCGGCTAGTTGTTCGTAAACACCTACTTGCGCGCGCTCCTGGAAGAGTAGTCATCTGCAGGCAACTAGGTGCGCACGCTCCTGGAAGAGTAGTCATCTGCAGGCAACTAGGTGCGCACGCTCCTGAAAGAGTAGTCATCTACAGACGCTCCTGAAAGAGTAGTCATCTACAGCCAACTAGGTGCGCACGCTCCTGAAAGAGTAGTCATCTGCAGGCAACTAGGTGCGCACGATTCTGGAAGAGGTGTCTGCAGGCAACTAGGTGCGCACCGTCCTGGAAGAGGAGGTGTCTGCAGGCAACTAGGTGCCCGGGCAGTTGTCAATATAGAACATGTTGTTCGTTGCCCGGGCAATTGTCAACCACAGAAGAATCGCACACCCAAACACCCAAACACAGACAGACACGGGAAGATGTCAAAATAGAACAAGTTGCCGCCACAGGTGGACTACCGCACTACCGCATACGTCACGCACATACACACAGACAGAGGCTGACTACCCAGGTGTCAATATAGAACAATTTGTTGCTGCCGGCACAGCAGGGCACTACCGCACCCCATGCACTCGCACTCACAGATACACACGGACGGGCAGGAATAGATCGATAAAGGTTAATAAGGTTGGCCTGATCTTCCTCGTCTGCCCCCCCTTTTCTGCGCAGAAACGACCTCACACTGCTACTACTGTTAATGCGTTCTCATTGTAACTCCACGAAAGACTTTCACTAATAAGCCAGCTAAGTTAATTGTTTGCCAGACAACCACCAGCTAGTTGTTCGTAAACACCTAGGTGCGCACGATTCTGGAAGAGTAGGTGTCTGCAGGCAACTAGGTGCGCACAAATCTGAACCAGTAGGTGTCTGCAGGCAACTAGGTGCGCACGCTCCTGGAAGAGTAGCCATCTACAGGCAACTAGGTGCGCGCGCTCCTGAAAGAGTAGTCATCTACAGCCAACTAGGTGCGCACGCTCCTGAAAGAGTAGTCATCTACAGCCAACTAGGTGCGCACCCTCCTGGAAGAATAGTCATCTGCAGGCAACTAGGTGCGCACGATTCTAGAAGAGTAGGTGTCTGCAGGCAACTAGGTGCGCACCCTCCTGGAAGAGTAGTTGTCTGGCAAACAACTACCAACTAAAGTAGTTGTACAGGATGTGACATTATTTTGCTTCTCATGCAAGCGACATACCTACTTGCATTGGTCTTGATCTGAACGGCCTCAAGAATCATTCTGAGACCAACTCGCTGAGACTGATGAATATACGTAGCGTGGGATAACGCCTTTTGGTCGCAGCCGCGGAATACGTCGGTAGTGAGGCCATCGCCATCGGTGGGTCCAGGCACTGTCATGGCATCGCCGGCGGTTATATTTTTCGTTCGTGTTGTTTGATTGTTCACAATAAACACGAACCGAGGATTAGATCTCCCAAAATATGTATCTTGAGTTGTATATTTTGTTTCGGACACTTCTGACGTGGGAGTAGTGGTGCCGTGCTAGTGTTTGTGTTCCGGTACGGCGGCTGCTCCAAAGGGAAACAATCTCATGACAACGCGCCAAGCCGAGCCGGAAAATCGCCCTACAAACTGTTTTCGTTGTCCCCTGGAGCATGCTCAACGACAAGAGCGTTAGAGTTTTGGCCTTAGATGGTCCAAGTCGACAATAAGTTATTGAGCAGTGTAGGTGATAATTTAGAAGGCAGTACATTGGGGAGGGGGTGGGGGGGGGAGGTGTACTCATAGTCGTGCATGCCGTAGTCGTTAGACCATTGACCTCGCATCCCTACAAAGCCGGGACGGAGGACGCCGGGTTCTCACCGGACCAGGCTCTCACATCACCAAGCGCGAAGCGCCGTGAGGTATTCGGCGAGTCGCATGAAGGGTGAGCTGCATCCTGCTAAGGGTGTTCGGCATCTTGTGCTTACTTACTTGCGTACGGATGACAGCTGCGTATGACTTAATTTATTTTCTGGTGCTTTCACGTCCAGAGACAGTTGTAAGCACTGTGTAACTGCCTCGAGGATGCTTGACCATTTTAACACAACGTGGTGCGATCATCCCCCTTGCGCGGAGTGAGGGTTCTCCACCCCGCACAACATGATCTACTCGACCACCATTATTGTTACCGCCAAAAAAAAACAGAGGTAAAAAAGAAAAAAACGGTAACCTGGTTGCCGAGTTCACGGAGTGAATTGGCTTGTTTTACAACGTTGTTGCCAAGCGACGAAAACCCAACCCCGATGGCAAACACTTCGGGGGGGGGGGAAAGCAGTACATTGGGGGTGGAAATTAGGCTGAACAGAATGTAGCCTTTAGGGCCAAAACGTAATGCACAATCTGCCCCGCTAGTCGATGGAGGGAAAAAAGCGTAGGATAGAACTGCCAAGTAACCTACGACGGTTGGTCAATGTGAAGGCAACGTTTGTTCGAGTCCTTGGTGATTAGGCCCAACCACAATAATGAATGGCACCTGCAAGTTGCCGCCCGGGACGAGTTGCATGCCTAGCACGTTGAGTGCCGGGGAAGAAATATGGGAACTATATGGGCGCTTGTTGGCTGTGTCTCATCCTGCCAACTGAGATGTCACTTGTAACCCCAAGTTCTCTACCAATCTGCCAAGGTGTTAAATGTGCACTGTCTGAAAATGTAGCAGATTCCCTTCTTTGGTTCGAGAACACGAAAGTGGGTGGAGATGTATTGAAGTCCAACATGAAGTGCGGCGCTGACCCGCGCGCCCTGCCTGAGCCAATCGGTCTACGGATACATTTGTGTAGGCTGGAGCGAATAGTGTAACGATAATTCTCTGTCGATCTACCGCCACCTAACTCAGCATGGAAGGAAAATAGCTGTACACACAAGAGGAACCCATAATACTCCAACGCTTCAATGCCCCATGCGCTCGCGCGCAATGGGTGAGGGATTCGCAACGAAACTAGTTGCAGGACAATAGAACACACATTGCACAATAGCAGGTGCGTGCAACAATTGTCTTGGTATCTCACCTGAACGAACCTTCTGTCTCGCCAGTTCGTGTCGTTGACCATGCTCGGGAATAGTCGGGGCTGATTGGGCACAAGGAAAGGACGGAATAGCATGGGTGAATATTGTCATGTTGAACGGTTGTCCCTACCCTGCCTAAGCGGCGTGTGGGTTCTGTTTCGAACTCGTTTTAGGCGATTCAGCTCGCTTCGCACAGTCTAGGGTACCGTAGCGGTTCCTTTCTATTTGTTTGGCTATATCTGTAGATCTATGCATATGTACATATAAAACAAGACTTTGCAGGCCGTGGACTAGTACTATTAGGAAACTTTAATGCAAACACAGAAAGACTACCTATTCGAGATATGACCACAGTCGAACGGGATGTGTTGAAGTCTGTACAGCGAATGGAGGGAAACCGGCTGGGTACTGGGCTTATTTTGAGCCTATACACTGATTTTTTTTTGTCAGCAGTGATACCAGCAGGTGCTAATCACAAAATCACTGCTGTATAGGTACAAATACCACAAGACATCTCCCCCGTATTTTTCTCGATCTACGGGGTCAAAGACAAAATTATCGGGGAGAAACCCTCCGTTATGTCGTGTGTTGTAAACTTCTGCCTTTACAGCAGTAACACGTCGCGGTGTCGCTTGACAACTTGCTGGATTTTATTTATTTTCTTTCTGCTGTTGATCTATGATGTTCGGCAAAACCTCCAAATAAATCGAGGCGGATCAACTCCCCTGTGTCTTGCTCGGTTTGGTGACGCGTCTAGCCCCTGTCGGCGCGTTGCAGGTTGCAGCCATCCAGCTCGATAGCATCCACATTGTAGAACATCAGTAGTGAAGGACATCAGATCATCAGCACACGTAGAGAAGAAGATCCCTTGTGACAGGGGTCGATTGCCTGTATCCCGGTTAGTTTTCCTCTATGCGCGCCACCCCTGTATGCGCGTGCGGTAGCGGGCAAACCTTTCTTCCGGAAATAAATGAGGAGACGGAAGCCGGACAAGTTGCGGCATTCATTGTAACAGAAAACACTGGCTCTCGGACTCGGAACACATCACATGCATCTCGCTCATGTTTGTTTCTCATGATCAGCTCTGTGTGTGCTGGATCTCTCTGCGGTATGTATGTGGTCCGGGTGTGTGTGTAGTGTGCGAACATTAAACTTTACGGAGTACTGATCTAGACTGACTCCTGTATGTTGCTGTATTGTATATAGTCTCACGGCTGTATATAGCTATGGTACAAGCCACACTTGCACACACAGACAGACAGGTCAAAGCGCACGCCACGCGCACCCAAAGTAGTAGCAGCCATAACAAGGCAAACAAGTGCAGTTAGTTTTCTTCTTCTGCTGCTATACGGTATCTATCTGTCTTTAATCCGGAGAGTAGCGTAGACTCCCCCGTGACACTCGGTCACAGGGTCCCAGATTGTTTACTGTAGAAGCGCATTGTGTGTTTTCCGCCGCACTGAGACTGGCGCCTTCATTGGTCAGCCGGTTAGTGCGGTCAGATGCTTGCTTACAGTACGGGCCCGCACTTAAGAAACATTCCGCGAAGAAAAAAGACTCAACTTTTTAGTAAAAATAAGAAAAAAGGACTCAGAAACACAGCTCAATCTCGGCCACAACATAAGAAACGTTCTAACAAGCAACAAACATGATCGTGCGATACCCCCAATACATGAGAAACAAGGGTCGCGGGGGGAGCGTATCCAATGTGAAACGTTCCACTGCTGCTCCTTCCGTGCTCCCACTCCCCCCGTACCTAGCTGGACAACGTTTTTTTTCGTAGGGGGGGAGAGTGATTGTTGGCGCTCTCCCCCCCACCTCCGCGTTATTTAGCTACCGACTCGGCGCCGCCGCGGGCTGCTTTACCCACTGCTGCATGGATGTTTGGTGTTGTTGTATGCATCTTCTTAGCCAGAAATAAAAGAAAATGAGAAATAGCAGAATCAGGAGGATGCGACAGTCCAAAGGAATAATAAATAAATGTCTTTCTTTTAAGAAAATGGACGACTTCGGTTGATCCTTCGACGCAAAGTAAGATATTAAGCCTCGACCCGATTTTGACGTTCGATTTTGACGTTTCTTATCTCCGGGCCCGTACTGTATACTAAAGACAGATAGGTGCACACACATACATTATGGCATACAGCAGGGTGTGCGCCAGAAGCTTCAACGTTTGTTCGACAATTAATTATTTTTGCACTTAGTTTTGTTTCAGTGAAAGAAAGAAGAAGACGGTACGTGGATAAGGAGAGCATGATGACGCATCATGCATGCATGCTTCTCTCGACTTGAACCTGCGTCTGTCTGTCCATCGTTCTCTTCAGCTGTATGTAGCGAACAACCGTCCCAATTGGTATGTGTTGCAAATGTTACCGTTCGTTTCGTATGCACATACAAACACTCTCAAACAGGGGACGAGGGGGGCGGTAGCCTCCCGCGTCCACCGATAGCGTCAAATGTTGGCGAGCGACGAAGGGGCCGCCGCTCGGCTTCCCGCTCCGCGAAGCCCGCCGAGAGCCCTCTCTCAGCGAGACGCGGCCGCTCGGGGCTCCGAGCGGCCAGCGACGGGCGAGCTGCACGCGCCGGCGGGACGGCTAAAAACCACGTTGTCGCACCTGCGTCTCCACCTCGGACCCCTCCGCTCGGGACTGTAAAGAACAAGCGACCTTACTGGACGGAAGTGTCTTCACCACCTCAGGTCTTCTTCCTCCAACGATGCTCCTGCTACCAAGGCAGAAATCCTGTTCAACAGCACGGAAATAGACCATCAACGCTACGCACGCTGTGTGACAAGCCTGATCTTCGTTTTTCTATGTCTTTCGGTGTTGCATGTCTCCTGCTTCGCAACACGTATGTATTATGTAGCCATGTAAACTCCAGGCACGCCGTGTCACTGCCTGACCTTTCGATTTCTTTCGTGTTTAGTTCTTTGTGCAAATTAAATGCCTCTCGGTGTCGTTCGGTTTCCCTCTTAGCTTTGCGTACTACCACCTATCTTCTACACGATCGATTTATCCCCGCCTTGACAGACATGTAAGAAGCCACGTAAATACATCACATTCAGAGTATCTTATGTTGCCACGTACCACAATTAGACAAGCGGCTTAGACATGTACGTGTAGATGCCAAGTACATTTAGAGTGTCGGCCACCACTTTCAAGATGAGTGTGTGTGTAAGCGTTGGCTACATTTTGAGTGTACGCTAACGATTGGTTCCCAAGGGACCCGTTTGCCGTTCCCGATTGCGTCTGAACAACGCTGTCGCTCTACATTGTAAGTTGTACATTTTCAACTTTGCATGAATACATAGCGCCGA